TTAAAACTAGCCAGCCCAAGACCCCTCCGGCCCATCCGCACACCACCCCTTGGGGCTGGCAGGATGTGCAAGCCCAATTCCCAGAGGCATCTTCATCCTCCAAAAAGGACTAGAAAAACTCTTCCCATCAGGCCCGAAAGCCTGCCATCCACTCAAGGTGGTTGATGTAGGGGGGACGAAAGGCATGAGACATTAAAACCACAAATTTTGCCATGTGAAGATGAAATATCTGAATTTAACAGAATCATTTTAAAAGGTCAAATTGGCCTGCTACAATAAGACTCAGAGACGCACATAGAAAACCACTTCCCACCTTGCACACATCAAACACCCACAGTGGGACACAGTCTATTGCAGATGAGCTCACAGTCAGAAATACAAAGCGAGGAAATAATGTGCATGACAGGAGCGCAGCAGAGAAAGCAAATAGGAGTCAGGACGGCGGCAGCTTCGGGAAAACAGATAAACAGATGGTCAAATATTGCAGGGCTGGAGAGATGGCTCAGTGGTTAAGAACATGACTGCTCTTCCTGAGGACCTGGGTTCAATTCCCAGCACCCACATGGCAGCTTACAACTGTCTGAAGATCCAGTTGCAGGGGATCTGACACCTTCACACCAATGCACATAAAATAAAGTTAAATAAACCATGAAAAAATTAAAAAAAAACAGATGTGTGAAATATTGCTAAAGACTTTGTTGAGTGAGACAAGGAACTCGGACGGACATGTGGGAGCTGTTGGGAAAGCATCCTAGTTTGCTTTCTGCTGCTGTGACAAATACCGTGGCTTACACATCTCCAACACTCCATCACTGAGAGAAGGGAGAGCAGGAACTCAAGGAAGGAACCTGGAGGCGGGAACTGAAGCACAGGCCGGGGAGGGGTGCTGCTTACTGACTTGCTCTCATGGTTTACTCGGTTTGCATTCTGATGCAGTGCAGGACCACCTGTCCAGGGGTCATACCACCCACAGTGGCTAGACCCTCCCACATCAATTGTTAATCAAGAAAACATCCCCCTGACTGGACCGCAGGCCAATCTGATGGAGGCAACTCTTCAACTGAAGCTCCCTCTTCCCAATGACTCTGCTTCTGTGGGGCAGACAAAACAAAACAACAAAACAAAGCTAGCACAGGGGTATATTAGACAGAATGTGGGAAAGCACTTGTCAATGAGAAATGACTGAGAATATTCCAGAATCTAGAAAACAACTCTACAACTCATGGGTCAAAGAAAAAAAGGTAGCATAAACCTTAAAATACTTAAAGAATGTTAAAGACATCACATAACAATGCTGCCCCCAGAATGTCCCAGGGTCATTAGGTCATAGGATACCTTATGATGAACTGCACCCCAAAACAATACAGGCCATTACCATTGTTCTCAGTTACCAACCAGATGATAAGACTCTACTACTTGATTTGGTGTCAGGATACCAATAAATCAAACCAAGCATGAGCGGGAAGTGTGCTAGCTTTCATACTGCTGCAATGTGCTATCTAGTCTGCTGCTGGAGAAAAGGCAGTAACGTTCTGATCTAGCCATGAACTCTGCGTACTATACAGTACCAATTCGCCAGGCAAGTGTGCTCATTGGTGTCTGACATGAGAGTGTCCAATCACTTTATTGCTGGATTTGAGGCTCTCTCCACAAAAGGAATTCATGTCCAATACTACATACAAACCTGGTCAAAAACGGTGGTTAGGGAAGTCCCAGACCCGAAGATGGGAACCTGCTACTATCGCTTTGCTGAATGGATATTGTGTTTATACGCATAGACTAGCACCACTCTCTGAAATGTTCAGAGGACCTTCTATTTGTAGTTGATGTAGACAGGAAGTAACCGTTGAGTGCCTCTATCACTTGCTCCAAGGAATATTGTGGAAGAGGATGTGGACAGAGTCTAAGAGCGAGAGGAGAGGAAAGGGTGCTATGAAATGCTGTTTTCTATGTTATATACATGGCACAATGAAAGCTAGCCAGGGAAGACACTTCCAACTATTGTTCCCATGAATTCCCAGCAGTAGTGGCTACCTGTGTAAGATCTCTGGGGTTTCAAATGCTCAAGCCAGGCCCAGTGTCATTCTCTCTTCCTGATGACTAAAGATCCAGACGTCTAAATCTCACCTCCTTCTCTAGCACCATGTCTGGCTGTACTCCGCCATGCTTGCTGCCATGATGATAATGGACTAAACCTCTAAACTGTAAGCCAGCCCAAATTAAATATTTTCCTTTATAAGACCTACTGTGGGCATGGTGTCTTCATAGCAATAGAAATACTAAGACACCGGTCTAGTCAAATCACGGAACTCTGGGTTCAGTGAGAGAGATGGTATCTAGAACCAAGGCAGTGCCAGGCATGGTGGCACACACTTCTCATGCCAGCCCTCAGAAGGTAGCAGTGAGTTTGAGGCCAGCCTAATCTACATAGCAAGCTAAAGGACAGCCAGGGGTTATATAGAGAGACCTTGTCTCAAAAAAACAAAACCAACAGGAAACCCTGGGTAGCAGGCTGATAAGAGGATTTGGTGAATCCAGGCTTTGGGCACCAAGGCTGATAACCCTGGAACCCACATAGAGACAAACAAGCCCCACACATTGTCCTCTGACCTCCACACACACGCCACAGCGTGCACACATACATATAATTGGGCACACACAGAGACAAGGAAGAGATCAATTATGAAAACAGATTAGCAATGAAATCAGAAGAAAGTACTTCTAAAGGCTTTTAGCAAAGTTAGTAATCCAATCAGTAGTACTCAAATGAAGAGTAGATTTTTGTCTTCTAAAAGTACACAAAGTTTAGGGAAAACCAATTGTTAGTGTCTTAGGGTTACTATTGCTGTGATGAAACATCACGACCAAAAACAACTCAGGGAGGAAATGGTTTATTGGGCTCACACTTTCACATTGCTGTTCTTCACTGAAGGAAGCCAGGACAGGAACCTGCAGACAGGTTCCTCTGATGCAGAGGCCATGGAGGGTGCTGATAACTGCCTTGCTCCTCATGGCTTCCTCAATCTTTCTTTTAGAACCCAGGACCACCAGCCAGGGATGACCCCACCCACAGTGGACTGGGCCCTCCCCCATCAATCAATCACTCATTAAAATGCCCTACAGGCCTACCTGCTGACAATCTGGTCTTTGCTAGGCATTTTTCTCAATTGCGGTTCCCTCCTCTTAGATGACTAGAGCTTGCGTTGACATCGTAAGGACATAAAAATTTTTTAAAACTTTGCAATTTCAAGAGTTAGTTGAAAACAGGATATCTAACTAGGACACTGAGCTCAAGCATAAACCATGAAATGTTCCTGGCGGCAGGGCCACTTGTTCATTCCTAGCTCTGTGGTCTATCAGGGAACAGTAGAAGCAACCACTTTGGGGAGGGGGCATGCTAGAGATAATTCACACCTGCTGCTATGTGAGACCAACTCCTTTGACCCAAACTGAACCCAGTCTGTGGTTTTTGCCTATATATGTCGGCCCCAATTGAGAACGGGGGTCAGGGGTGGGCTCTCCCTACTGCGCTGCATTGTGTGTGGTAGTTGAGCTCCCAGCCTGGCTTGGACTTTGCGCACTGAATAAACCCTGCTTTTGCATTCTGGACATGACTGGATTCTAGTGGTCTCTCTGGGGGGGGGTCTCAACTTGAGCACAACAACATAAAACAAGCCAGCACAATTAGGTCCTTCCAAAAGGCACGAGGCCATACTGACCAGAAGAAGAGCGCTGGTGTCAAGGACGTGGAGCTTTTCTCTGTAGTTCACTGTGCTCAGCTGTGTTTGTGAGTTACTTCCTGCTATTCAGTGGCGCTGTAAACTCAAGTTCCCGGGGATAGCTACGCGCATGTGTGAAAGATTCTGCATCGCTGATTGGTTGATCTGAACTTCATGGTTGTAGAGGGTTGCAATGTTCGCATCGAGAACCCACATTATCTTGGCTTATTGTTTTTCCCCTTAATATTTATTCATTGCTAAGGTCCCTGTGTGACCTAATGTCTCGTCAGCTTTATATAAAAGTTTTGGAATATATTAACAGACCATTAGCTTCACAACCCCAAGTTCCTATTTGGGGGAAAGTTGTGCCTTGCATTGGCAGTGTGAAACAGAGCTCAGGGGAGATTCTTTGTGCCCCTCCAAAAGTCAGAATTCTACTGGCAATGCGGATCAACCCGTATGTATCACAGAAGGTCAGGCAACACGTGGGGAGAATTGATATTAACACACAACAGTAGCATATGTTGGGAGAACTCACGGGAACGAGTTTTTAATCCTTGCACTTTTCATAACCCTATAAAAAATATTGACCACGTTGGTTTTCATAAATGTGTGTTGCGCTCACTAAAAAGGTAATTGTTAGGCTTGGCTAATCACTGTAGGGAAAAACAAGACACCCCTGAATCTCAAGACTGTAGAACAAATGCTTCTGTCTTCCTCTGCCAAAATAAAGCAGGCTGTGAGGCTGCCCTATCATGAGATCTTTTATCCATGGGGCCTCCAGGTTCTCCCTGGGTTATCTGTGTCTGGGGGGAGGGGTGAAAGAGGGAAGGAGGGAAGAAGAGGGATAGAGACAGAGACAGACAGACAGACAGACAGACAGACAGACAGACACCCTTTTGAGTCTTTATCCCAACCCCAGAGCTGAGTGAAGGGTGAGTTTGATGAATCAGGTTTTGTCTCAGCAGAACAGGTTAGCTAGTAAGGAGTGGAAACCGCATCCAAACAGGAGAATGGACTAATTGAAAACATGTCAGCACACGTGGGGGCACATGCCTGTAAATTCCAGCATTCGGGAGGTTTCAACAAAACAAAGATACGACTATTTGTATGTATGTATGTATAAACAATCAATTAAACACAGGGCAGAAAGTAGAGAAAACACATTGACTCTGTCCTATGCAGCCTGCCAAGGCTCCCTAGTCTCTGCTGAGTAAACACAAGCCGCAGGCAGCAACTCACCTTGAGCGACGGTTACTGACAAAACGAGGCAACTTTGGAAAGTGTAGCTTCCTATAGCTGGTCAGGGGTAGACATTGGCCCTTTCCCAGCCAGCACTTACCACAGCAGGGGGAGACTGAGTTAGTTTATGAGGCTATTTAGAAACTCTGTCTCAGGCCTGAGGACTTGGGACAAGAAAAACTTGGCTCCGCCCAGCTCATGGCCACGCCCACCCCTCTGAGGCCCGTATGGGCAGTTGCCTAGCAGCAGATGTTGCTCCAGTCCTTGACAACCTCCAGCAGCCAGGAAGAAAGAAGCACCATGCCCAAAAATGCGGTAGTGACCTTGCGCTACGGACCCTACAGCGCAGTGGGCCTGTCCGTGGAGCACCGCACCTACCGCCTGGAAGGTCTGCAAGGTGGGCCACCCCACTGAGTGACTCTTTTTGAGCCTCAGCCCCCGGGACTCAGGCTGAGTCCTCTACCTAGGCCTCCCTTCCCTTTTCAGACCCCAGGAGGCTTTCATAGAATAACTTAGCCCTTCCTCCCTCTGGTCCCCACTGCTAGGATAGAAACCTGAAAACTGATATGATCTATGGGCACCCTGAGTGTTACCAAGCAAAATACACAAATAAAATGGCTAGGGGGAGAAAGTACCTAATCCCACATTACAATTTGGGAAATTTAGGCTCAGAAATATTATAAGTGACCTTCATGGAGTGCCAGGGCTGAGATTCTATCCTGTGCTTCTTCATCTATGCAGCAAGGCCTGTGTTAAACATCTGTCTGCATGGACTCAGGCAGATGGGCTCACTGTTGATCAGGATGTATGTGTTCAGGAGAGCATTGATTGCTGAGAGCCATGCCTAAACCCTCACAGACTAGAGAGTGCATGGGAACCCACCTACAGTGGGGTTACCAGCATTTCATGGCAAAAGCCCCAGCTCCAAGAACCCGAGAGACCAAACAGCCACTACCTGTATTAGTCAGGGTTCTCTAGAATCACAGAACTTATGGGATATATATATATATATATATGAATTTGTTGAGATGACTTATGTCTTACAGGCTGCAGTCCAACAATAGCTAGTTGTGAATGGAAAGTCCAAGAATGCAGTAGTTGCTCAGTCCCATGAGGCTGGGGTCTCAGAAAGTCTTCTGTATAAGCTGGGGTCCCCAAGTAGGCTCAACAGATGTGCTGGCACAGCGAGGACAGGCAGGTGAACAAAGGAGCCTTCCTTCCCCTTTGTCCCCATAGGCTTCCATCAGAAGGCGTGGCCCAGATTAAAGGTGTGTCATCCCACCTCAAGAGCTGGATCGAAGGCGTGTTTCTTTCCAGCGGCATACTCTGAATCACAGGCATGCCCTCCATTTCTGTTTGCAGTCCATTCCAGATATACTCAAGTTGACAACCAAGAATAGCCAGCATATCACCCACATATGATAAATAAAGAGATACGCTGAGAGAAGCAGAGAAATTTAATTAATGTGGCAGAGTGGGGGGAAGAAGGGCTAAAGGGTCCAGTGAGCCCAAATCCATCCCTGGACTACTGACTAAACTTTAGGATTAAATGGAGAAAGGGCCCAGCAGTAGTGCACACCTTTAATCCTAGCACTTAGGAGGCAGAGGCAGGTGGATCTCTGAGATGGATGTCTCTACAGAGCAAGTTCCAGGACAGTCAGGGCTACACAAAAAAAAAACAACCCTGTCTCAAAAAACAAAAAGAAAGATTGAAGGAAGAATTGGTACAGGGACGTGAGATGTTCATATACTCAGGCCGTCCTGATGATTGTGCATCACCAGTGTTCAGGAAGACCCCTTGAGCAATGAGCCTAGTTAAGCAAGTTGGTGACCCAAAGTGAAGGCAGAGATGCCAGACTTTCATCCCACTCTGAGTTACCTTGTACAACCAAGTGCTAAACTGGTCCCTTTAATAAAAGCAGTTTCTAAGTACCTGTCAGAATGGCAGTAATCGGAGGGCACTGAGGACACATTTGAGTTGAGTTTTAGTGGATGGAATGGGTGGAGATTGGCCAGGTACAGGTCAGGGTGTTCCAGGCAGAAGACCTGACCCTTTCAGGAACTGGTGGTCTGAACAAGTGTTGAGATGTTGAACTGATGGAGGTTACGCCAGAAGGGCAACACATGCAGGGCCATCTGAAAGCTTCAGGCAGGAAAATAAACCCTCAGCTGCTCTAACACAAGTAGAGGGTCAAGTGTGGATGGGGAAGAGGCATAGAAGGACTTTGGTGGTGCCCCCCCTCCAGTTGTAATGAGAGCCTCTTGGATCAAGACAGCCATAAAGGGATGTTATGCCAAGTAACAGCAGTGAACTCCCTAGGACAGGAGACTGGGTAGACAATGGTAATGAGGATGCCACCAACATCTACCCGTGTCTGGCTAGCAGCAAGTGAATGGCAATGCCGTCTACCAAACTGGAAAGCACCAGCCTGGGTTGGGGAGGGGGAACATGGCTTCAATGGTCACTTTTCATTTCAAACACATTAAACTTCCCATGCTTTTAGCTACCTAGTTAAATGTACAAAGGATAAGAAACTAATCCTGTCAGACCAGCCCCCGCCCCCCACCGCGACCTTGTTATGTCCTAAAGGCCCTATCTACAAGTATTGTCAGAGAGAGTTTAGACTTTCAACATACAAAATCGGGAAAGCACAATTCAACCATAGCAGCAGCCCTCATGTTAAATTTAATGATGCAAGCATGTGTTTGAGTAAATAAAATTCATGTGTGCTCTGGAGGCTGCATCAACAACTAGCTGGCCGAAGTAGTAGGGAGGAGCCAGGTGGAGAAGGGTTTATATAGTGAGGGGCGAGAAGCAACATGAGGATTTCTTGGGAGATGTGAGGAGATGAGCTGCTTGCTATTCAGCCTCTCTGGGAAACAGGGCTCCACCTCAGCCTTTGAATCTTGAATTCTTTAGTGGGACAGAGATTCAGATAAGTTCTCTTAGGAGTTTTGAAAGAGTTGGTGCCTGAAGGAACAGAATTTCTTCAGGCTGCGGATACCGGTAGAGTTACAGTTGCTGACTAGGATAGCCATAGTTTAAAAGGCAGATAATTAACAAAGAGGACAACGCTAAACATCCCAGCAGGGCATGTTTTGAGGACATAACTACTCATCAGAAAAATAGAGCCCCACGCTTGCAGGGAGAGACGGGACCAGGCAGCTGGCCAGGGATGGGTAGCACAGAGTGGGAAACAATGTAGAAGTACCAGAAGTACGTGAGACAGGATTCCGGAAGGAACCGTCCAGAACTGTTGAGCCTGTGTTATCTCCGGAGAGAGATGCACTCGCGGCTGGCACTTATGGAAGGATTAGAGAACGAATGTTCTCATATGTTTCCAATTGGAGGACAAACTGGTCAGTAACCATGGAGGACGTGTCTATAAAATGTAGCCCACACAACAGAAATCAAATGGCTTCATTTGGAGGGGCCTTCTTTACTGAAAAAGCCCATACACAGGTGGCATACTACCAATGTTTTTGGCAATATTCTTGGTAAAAGAAAAACGATAGAAACAACCAGAAACTGCAATGGTTTAGATAAATTGCAGCACATTGGTCATGTGACGTGGGATGGTGGGAGGCTGGGTTGGGTAAACACAGCACTAGGGATAGAGCCTGCCTCCGAGTTCCCTGCAGACCACAATCTCTCTTCGCTTGAACAGGCAGATAATGGAAGAGGCACAAAGGGTAGAATCAGGGTAGTTTTTAAAATTTTGTCCTTTTCTGTAATTTTTATGGTTTTTTCAGATTCACATCTGCTTTACATTTATAATCTTATATTTTAGATATACTTATTTTTCAGCAAAAAATCTACTAAAGAAGAAAAGAAACTTACGGCCAGTGCATATCTGTGTCATGGCACTTGGAAAGAGACAGAACCAGTGCACATCTGTGCACAATTGTGGCACTTGGAAAGCAGAGCGAGGATTGGGCATTCAAGCCAGCCTGGGCTACATGAGACTCTGAAAAGGGGAGAACAAAAGAGGAAGGGGAAGAATCAGTCAGGGTAGCACTGGCATTCAGGAGGCTGAGATAAGAGGATCGTGAGCACAAGGCTAGCCTGGGCTATTCAACAAGACCCTGCCCACCCCCCAAAAAATAAAGTAAGGAAGAGGGGTGGAGGAAAGGAAGGGTAGATGAAGGAGAGAAAGGAAGGAGAGGGATAGGGAGGAGAGTAGAGAAAGCAGATATGGATTGGAGAGGGATGTGGAGATAGGTGAATACTGAGTGTGTGCTTCTCTGACCTCAGAGAGGCAAGCAGTACAGAGGTAGAGGAACTGGCAGAGCCGAGGCCACAGATTCAGGCTGCTGCTCCCTCTGGGGGAGGGAAGGGTGTTTTGAGAAGATGACAGGGAGCATTTGGGTGGCTGGAGAGGCTTGTAAGGTATCTGCAGGTGGCTGATTTGTAGAGTACACCCATGCTTGATAACGCATCTAATAACAGCTGCCAACTTTTACAGAGGACCTGGTGACAAGGGCCAAGGTGTTAATAGCAACAAAGCGGGGAATATTTGCTCCTCCCCATCCCCCACTTTAGATCCAGTGTTAACACTGAGGCAAGCAGACCTACGTGTAGGCCCTCCTCTGTAAAATCTGCATCTGAACTCTGCATTTGATTTTTAAAAACATAGCCCTTTATTGTTTCCCGAAGCCCCGCTGTCTTTGGAAGGATGCCTGATCTTTTCTGAACATACCATGCCCTAAGCAGTCTGAACACTCGTGTTCTTTATTACTCATGAATTATAATCGCTCAGAGAAAATGTTTTCACTAAACCAGTCCTTAAAAGAGAGCTAAGTAATTGCCCTGGCCACGGTCGCTCCTTGTCTACTGTACTTAAGCCTGCCAAACGAGCCATTCAGAGGGATTGGAAGACACTGAAACTGACCATTAAAAATAGAATCCATCTTTATTTAGTCAAGGCTCCCAAGTGATAGCCTCCATCCCCAGTGATGCATTAGCTGTATTCATTAATGGCCACTGGCATCATGTCTGCTCTGTGTAAAGGAAGGAGAGAAGCCAGTGTACTTCGACTTCCTACCCAGAAGCATTTACATCATCTACAGATACTGCTTGACTCTGCCAGCTCAGTGAGGACAGAGCCTCTCCTGTCCCCTCCACTTTATCCAGGTCTCCTGTGAGGAATGAGGTGACACTTCAAAGAGGCGGGTGTTCTGCGGGTGGCTTACCACTTCTGGCTGATTTATGCTGAAGTTTAGCCACTGCCTGTGCACAGACTTTGTTTTAGGGAGCGTATTTATCTGACCTTTCTTTGAATAGACAAACCAGGCGCAACTCAGGAAACCGTGGTCCCTCCATGCCGAGTAGTGGCATTTGGTAAGCTGCAGGGATTCTAAAGTGTCTTCTTCTCTCATCCCTTACGCCTGCCCCAGCCATGTTACAGTCAGCCTCACTGTTCCATGTCACTCCTCTCTGACAGGAAGGGGATGATGTCCTGAGACTGACAGCGTGACAAGCTATGAAGACATTGTCATTTGAGTACAAACCAGTCAGGTGGCCATTAGCCACAAGAGAAGTGAGTGGGTACTCAGCTTCGGTTTATGTTTGCTACTTTGGGGAGACAGTGTTGACCCCAGGTACCCAGAGGAAGGCTGGGTCAAGAGACCTGCTCCTCCAGAGTTCAGGTACCTATCTATACCTGGCAGCCCTAGAAGGAGAGATGACCCTTTCTTTTGTAGATCAAATTCACTTTTTTCAGCCACACCTTGTCATATAAGAGTAACTCTGTCTCTAATACTCCAAACCCAAGTGCAATCTAAGCTCAGTCAGATGGGAGTCAAGGGCCATGCATCATCAGTGGGTTGTCGGGGCAGCTGCAAGGTACTTATTCCTGAGGTCTCCTGAGGGACCACCTGCCTAGTCCTGGTAGCCCCAGTCTCTCAGAGTCCCTTAGGCCTTAGAAAGCTGGCCTTGGGAGTTTGTAGCAGAATGACAGCTAGGCTTCTGAGTTGTCTCTGTCAGATTCCAGTCCACTCCCCAGGAGGGTCTACAGGCCATGCAAAGTCTAAGGTCCTAGAGACCATGGGACACCTTCCCATGTGCAGCTACTTCCTGTTAGGGAGAAGGTGCTATGTCTCCCTCGAGGATGAGCTGCTTTTCCAAACCAGCTGGACCACTTCCATTTAAAAAGTCACTGGTCCAAGCTGAGTGCCCTCTTGAAAGATGTTTAAGATTAAGACACTTGAACAGGATACAATAGCATAAATATGCCAAAGGAACGATGCAGGCGTTCTTTGGAGAGAGGCATTAGCCGAGGCAGGTCAATGAGGGCCTCCTCCGGGTGCCTGAAGAGCGTGACCGTGTTAATGGAGACCCTCACTGAGTCTTCCTCAAGTTTGCTTCTAAAAGTGACATCAAAATTATGCAATTAAAATGCTCACAGCTGGGGCTGGATGCTCTCAAGCTGATTGAAAGATGAAGAAGTGGACAGGACAACATTTTGAAACAGCAATTGTCTCTGTAATTAAATGCAATTAACTGGCAGAAATGTCTGTTTTTCCATCCTAAAACTGACTGGCATGCTAAGACTTGAAAATAAAAACATGACCCCACCTGATGCCTTGTTCCTTCTAACCCAGATATTCAGCGCTGCACACAGAATGCTAAAGGAATGGGACATACCAACTCTAAGATGGATGGGGCAACGGGCACTTCAGGGGAACTGGAGAAGATGGCCCTGGGCTAGCTGACTAGGTTGCCAGGCTTGTTAACCACAGACAAGGCCAGGCTGTAGTGGAGACTTGCCTGGCACACTGAAGACCTAGGTTCAATCCTCAGGGGAGGGAGAAGGAAAAGGAGGAGAGATTTAAGTCAACAAGTTATATGTGACTGACCTCTGGGAAAGAGCCACCAGCTGTAAATGCTAAGCAGGCCCCAGACTCATAGGCGAGAATAACGAATATGCTTTCTTTTTAAAAGACTTCTGAGCTGGGCAGTGGTAGCACACATCTTTAATCCCAGAACTCAGGAGGCAGAGGCAGATGGATCTCTGTGAGTTCGAGGCCAGCCTGGTCTACAGAGTGAGTCCTGGCTTCCAGGACAGCCAGAGTGACACTGTCTTGGAGGGGAACAAATTTACTGGTTATATAGACATCGTAGAGAGCGCTAAGAGAATACAAGTCAATGTTTCACATAATCTCACCGCAGAGACGAAGGACCACTGAGTTCCCTTGCTCTCGTCCTTGGATTTTGAGACAGGCTCTCATTTTGTGGCACAGGCTGGCCTCTAACTCAATATCCTTCTGCCTTAGGCTACCTAAAAGCTGGGATTATAGACATGTGCCACCACACAGGGTTCTTCGTTCTTACATATTTTAATTAATATTACATATATATTCTTAATATATTGCACATATATATCCTTATTTTTGTTGTACTCACAAGGATTACTCTATTTCAAAAGTTCCCCTTTTTTTGTTTTCTTGAGACAGGGTTTCTCTCTGTATCCCTTGCTGTCCTGGAACTTGCTCTATAGACCAGGCTGTCCTAGAACTCAGAGATCTGCCTGCCTCTGCCTCCCGAATGCTGGGATTAAAGGTATGTACTACCACTGCCTAGCTAACTCGTGAATTGTTCACAGAATTTTGGTATTATATGATAAAAAGAACATCATGTTGCAAAAATCTACCTGTATTTCTGATTTTTTTTGTTATATGGTTTCGTTTATATACAGTGTTCTCAAAACATGTTTTTGAAGGTTGTGGCTTATGCTACGGATTACCCTCTAGAAAGGCAATCAAATTATATCTCCATAAGCAGGAAAAGAAGTTGTTGGATCCTGGGACCCCTCTAGTACTGGTCACTGTCTCTATGAGGCTAAGCTGCGGAACATGCAGTGGCCACTTCTGAGAGATGGGTCAGTTCAACAACCTAGAGGTGTGTCACTTGGGTATCTGTCTTTGTCTTCCTGAGACTACAAGGATACATGGAGATCAGAGACCACCTAAGTACCCAGCAGGTGGTTATGACCATAAACAGCAGGGAGGAGACCAGCTGCTGTCATCTACGAGGACATAGACATAGGCTAACCTGGAGTCACTCCATGTCACCCCATGTCACCCACGTCACTCCCTGTTTTCCAGCTGTGTTGACCAAAGATGGACATGAGGTCATCTTGGAGCAGATAGAAGACTGGAATCTGGTGGAGCTTGTGGTAAATGAAGAAACAGTCTTCCAGTGTGATATCCAAGACCTGGAGTTTGGTAAGACTCTAGGTAGCCTCTGCTCAGCACTCAGCCTCCTCCGAGAACTCCCTCATTTCTAGTTGAGTTGGTCAGGGAGTCATGCCTAGAGCCAAATTGGGGTTATTTTTGCATTTCAAATTCACAACAAGAGCGCTGTTCCCTGGAGCACATAAAAGACAACTGCACACACACACACACACATTCATACACACACTATGGCACATACACAT